GCAGAAAGGTCAATCCCTGACCCGCAGGCCCTGGGAAGGCAGATCCTGTCCCTCCTGTGTGGCTCAGGGCTCTTTGTGTGGGCAGTGGGGTGTGGGGGTGAGCAATGCGAAGTGCAGGAACACTGTACAGCCTGTCCTGGTTTGGCCAAGAAGGGCTGAGGAGGAAAACAAACAGCAGAGCCTGCAAATCCAGTTTCTCCTGGTAGGCCTCAGTGGCAGATACAACTGCCCTAGCCAAGAGGACAAAGACCTTGGTCTTGTGTGGCCTTTCAGCCTTGCCAGAGCCCTTGGCCATCTCGACTGCAGACTGTCCTACACTGTCCTATGCCTGTACCTCTTTCCTTTCAGGCTGTAGACACCCATCTTGCTTTCACACCCAGCTATCACACCAGCATTTCTAGACCTTCACTGATGTCTCTCCACCCATCTCTGGCTGTTCTTTGAAGGAGAAAGCCATGGGCTGATGCAGACTCCCTCTGCGTGACCCCTTGCACCACATGGATAACCTCAGAGTGAGACTTCTTTTCATCACCTCAGGTCTGATTCTTCCAAACTGAACTTTGTCAAGGTTTCCCCGTCTCTCTCCCCACTACCAAGAAAAGTACCGTCATCTCTGAAACCATGCTTCAGGGAGTTGCATGGTACTACTGTAAAGCCATGAGCCTCTGCTTCACCAGGCTAAAGAAGCCCAGGTCCCTCAGCTTCTCCACACAGGCCCCAAAAGACATCCAGGAAAATCTCCTCTAGAACCTCTTCATTTCCTCATCTTTCCTCTAGGCTGGGGATCCCCACACTCAGAAACACTTGTCCAGATGTGGCCACACCAGTGATGAGTCAAGGAGCGTGATAACTGCTTTGCCTGGCTGGCCATGCTCCCTCTCATGCAGCCCAGTGTGCAGCTGCTCTTATTCATGGTGAGCATGCACCACTGGCTCATAGGGCATTCTTCTTCAGGCCCGGGCCTTTCTCCTCAGGGTCACTCCTGAGCTGCTCAGGTCTCAGCCTGGCCTTAGATTTGGGAGTTATTTTGCCTCCGATGCAGGATTGGTCATTTCTTCTTGTAAAAGTTTGCGATGTTTCTGCTGACTGAATCCCAGAGTTTTTAAAGGTCCCCCTGGAGTGAAGCTCTGTTTGGACAGCTGGTTTTGTGTGCGTACTGATGGCTCACCCTGACAAGTGGTGCATCTGACAAGGTAATAGCATCTGGAATGACAGGACACTAGATATAAGAGAAGGAGGTACTAGATTAATGGAATTTCTGACCAGGGTAGGAATTTCCATACTGATTAGCTCAGAAGCACCAGATGGGGGTACAAAGGAGGCCAAATTTGGGCCAGGGATGGAAGGGTGAAGAGAGATGGACTGTCTGCATGGGAAGGTATAAGGATGGTGTCACAAATGGGAGTGGAAAAGAAACAAAAATATGCTTTATAGATATAAAACAGTGAGTTAGCAAGGTTCAATGGTAAATGCAAGAGTGGTTTAACAAGATTCAGTTGTAAGGCACACTTGGTTATTTACTGCATAGAGGACAGGCTCAGACAAACTTTCAGGGAGACCCTACAGTTGAGCCATGAGTTTTGGAAAGGATCACTTTGCTTTTAAATTCCAACCTCAGAGAGCAGTCTAGGTGTGGCTGGATCCACTCCTAATCCCAGACTTGATCAATGCGTTATATCTAAAGGATTAGGTGTGTTTAATCAAGCCTCGCTATCACGTAGCTAAGGTTTCAAAGTTTAGCATGCTGTTAGTCATTGTTGTGGCAAGGAATCTCTCAACCTCAAGGAGTAACCTTGAGAGGTGTCCCTGCTCAAGGGGAGATCCTGGTGTGCAGCCCGCTGTTGTGCAGGGGAGTTCAAAGGGCTCTTGGGCTGCTCACTATTGATGGGGGTAAGATGACTGACTCATAGTCATGTTTACATACCGATTGCAGATGTTGGTTTCTTCCAAATTTGGCTTGAGTCAGACACTGACCAGCACTGTGGTTAGGTGGACACAGTGCCATAAATTAGCCCTTGGCTACTGTGTTGTTATCTGTCTCCCCCAAATCTCCTTGGAGCTGGATGCATCCATCACAACCAGATGCATCCATCACAACCGCCACTGGTGGGTATCGCTTGAGCAGGGTTATGAGAACAGGTCAGGTGTGGGGTGGGGCTTGGAGCACACCACCACACCATGTTCCTCCAGAGACAGAACTGACCTCACAGGCCCCTTCACAGCCATATGCTTCCTACTGGATTGTGAGTTTTTGAGACACAACTGACCTCATCATACCATACCCATCCATCCTGCTCTTTATGGCCCAGGACCTGACCGGTAAAAAGATGCTTCTTTTATCAAAGTTATTAAAGATATTTCGTACTAACCGTTTGAGTGGAGAAACATTCTTCACAGGAACTGCTGCATTTCTGTTGACACATTTTATATCTCTTCTACCTCTTTATTTTTTTATTCTTCTTCTTCCACCTATTCGGTCTTCAAGAACCTCTCCAAGGGAAAGAATGACTCAGGTGTGAAGAGACCCCTGAACATCCCCTTGCCTCACTCTCCTGCTCAAGGCAGGCTGGACCAGATGACACTGTTCAAGGCCTCCGCCCAGCTTTGCATCATCCACAAAGGAGCTGAAAGTGCACTCCAACGCATCCTACAGGGGGATGATCAAGATGTTCCACAGTGTTGGCCCAAGTGCTGGCCACTGAGGGCTGACACTAGGAGCTGCCTGCTCAGAGGACTTTGAACCCCTGATGACATTTGGGCCTGATCGCCCAGCCAACTTCCACTTCTTCAGCCCAGACAGCACTAATCTGGCGATAAGGACACCACGGGAGACCATGTCAAAGGCCCTGCCAAATTCCATGTACACAGCATGTGTTTCTTCCCCTGCCCATTTTGGTTCATCAATCCCTTTGTTGTCCTTCAGGTGCCTGGAAATGGCTGCAGGAGGACGTGTCCTATCCCCTCCCCAGGGACGGATGTAGGCTGACCAGCCTGTAACTCTCCCAATTCTTGTTCCTGCCCTTCCTGAAGATGGCATTGATGCTTGCCTTTTCCAAGAACCCCAGAACCTCTCTGAATGGTATGGCCTTTTTGAGAGCATAATCCAGAATCAGTGGCAAGTGTGATGTTGGAGACAGGAGCACTTCCAGTGAGCCTGACCCAGGCAGCTCAGATGAACCTCACTGGGCCAGTAGGGTCTTTTCCTGAAGTCACACAGAGAAATGTTGGGGTTCTGCCAGGCATCCATATCTGAGCTGGCCTTGTGGACTCCTGATGCACCCAGGGGTGTTCAGAGTCTTTGCCTTTTACACACAGAGGCAGTGCACTGCAGGAGTCCTCGTGTCTCTCTGGCATCCTGCTGCCACTCCCAGAAGCTGGAAGGCACCTCAGCCCTGCAGTGTATCGCCCTGCTCTGCACTCATCTGAGATGTCCCCCAACATGAGGACTGGACACAGGGACATCAGTTCAAGGAAGCACATCCCAGTGCTGCATTCAGGCAGATTTCCATAGGATGTTACTCCTAACATGAAGTGACCTTGAGGCACTGTCTGTCCCACAGGCCTTCATTGAACTCCAAGGAATAGCTGATGGGGTTTGTGCTCACTCGGGTTCCCCTCACCTCACGTACGTGATGTGATGTTTACATCTCATCTGAACAATGCAAACACGGACTTCTAACCTACTCATTCAGTGTCCTTCCATGGAGGGACAAAAAACCTCTCCAAGCTGGGCTGAGACCCCAGAGCTGGGAACGGTGGTTGTGAGGGGCCATTCTGGAATGATTGCCCTGGGGCAGCTTCCCCAGGGTGTTCAGGAAACATGGGCACGGACCAGACCCTGCTCTGCTGGTCCTTCAAGTCTCTCACAGGAGGCTTGGCTGCGCAAGGACACTGCTGCATGTCCCAACCCTGCAGACCCACATTGCTTAGCTGTATACTGCTGTTTTCATTGGTGGGCCACTTTCTGGGGCACGTTCCTGAGCGAAACTTTGGAAGAAGACCTAAGCCTTCAGGCACTACCCTGAAGAGATCACCCTTCTTTATGAAAATGCTGTTATGGAGGGCAGCTCTGTCACAGAATCATCCATTGCCTGTCCCTGCCTGCAGTCACAGGTCTAGCATGCAGCCCCACTGTGACCAAGCTGCCAGACTACTCAGGCCTTTTCACCAATGCAGTTGGAAAGAGAAGAGCCCTGGAAGACAAAGCGCTGGTGCTCCCTGGAAGTCCTGCCATGCTGGGACTCTTTTCCCCTCCACCCATACACGCAGGAACTGCCTTGCAGATCCAAAAAGGCATTAGAGGAAGGATCTCAGGAAAAATAAGTTTGATGCAAGACCATTTAGTTTGTTTAATCATACAGAGAGCAGGGCTCCTCAATTACACAGCCACAGGGTCAGAAAAGTAAAGCGACAGTGAATAAGAAAGGGAATGACAACATTATAAGAAGTAAAAAAACTACCATAAAAAAAAATAAATTTAGAAGTCCTGCAGAGAGTGACATTATAACAGCTATGCAGAATACAAAGGGCAGCTTCTTGCTTCACAAAAACATCCAGTTACCAGTTTCCAGACTGCATCTTTGAGCTCCTGGTTCCTCATGCTGTAGATGAGGGGGTTCACTGCTGGAGGCACAACTGAATACAGAACAGCCGCCACCAGGTCCAATGATGGTGAGGACACGGAGGGGAGCTTCAGGTAGGCAAACATGACAGTGATCAAAAACAGGGAGACCATGGCCAGGTGAGGGAGGCATGTGGAAAAGGCTTTGTGCCGTCCCTGCTGAAAGGGGATCCTCAGCACGGCCCTGAAGATCTGCACATAGGACAGCACAATGAAAACAAAACACCCAAAGACCACAAAGGCACTGAACACAATAAGCCCAACCTCCCTGAGATAGGTCTCTGAGCAGGAGAGCTTGAGGATCTGGGGGATTTCACAGAAGAACTGGTCAAGGGCATTGCCTTGGCAGAGGGGGAGTAAAAATGTATTGGCTGTGTGCATGAAAGCATAGAGGAACCCACTGCCCCAGGCAGCGGCTGCCGTGTGGACACAAGCTCTGCTGCCTAGGAGGGTCCTGTAGTGCAGGGGGTTACAGATTGCAACGTAGCGGTCATAGGCCATGACAGTGAGAAGAGAATACTCTGCTGAAATAAAAAATACAAACAGAAAGGCTTGAGCAGCACATCCTGTGTAGGAAACGTCCCTGGTGCCCCACAGGGAATTAGTCATAGATTTGGGGACAGTGGTGGAGATGGATCCCAGGTCAAGGAGGGAGAGGTTGAGGAGGAAAAAGTACATGGGGGTGTGGAGGTGGTGGTCACAGGCTATGGCGGTGATGATGAGTCCATTGCCCAGGAGGGCAGCCAGGTAGATGCCCAGGAAGAGCCAGAAGTGCAAGAGCTGCAGCTCCCGTGTGTCTGCGAATGCCAGGAGGAGGAACTGGGTGATGAAGGTTCTGTTGGACATCTGCTGCCTCTGGACATGGGGGACTAATGAAGGAGGAAAAGACAGGGACAAGTTAGGAGAGACATCTCTGAGGAAAATCAAAGCCATTTCTCATAGACCCTCCTTTTTTTCTTTCCCTTTTCAAGGAGAAGTTTCTCAGCTCCAGGGCTGTTTCCCTGGTCAGTTCTGTCCAAGTCTGCCATGAGGAGATGTGTCTCTTCCTGCTGGCTGTTGAGAGGTCAGCCCTGCTCTGCAGCACTGAGCTCATGGGAACACTGGGAGTAGGGGCCAGTCCTGGCATTCAACTTTGTCAGGTGAAAACACTCCTAATGCAGAAGGGCCTGCCAGCATCTGTACTCTCAGTGCTAAGGAACCAGGAGGGTGGAATGATGTTTGAGAAGTTGGGGTTTTTACAGCTCCCCCAGTCTCACCTGGAGAGTGTTACTGGGCATCAGAAGCCCTCAGCACTTCTGGTGCACTCGAGGAACACAGAGCAAGTCCTGTGAGGCAAGAGGATTACCTGTGGCTTAGTGCAGAGTGAGGGCAGCTGGTCCATCTCTCCGTCTTGTCCCCAGGTGGCTGGGCTGGTACTTTTCTGAGATGGAGAGTGATCGCCCTCCCATGTTATCCTGAAGAGCCACCAGACACTCCTGAGAGCAGAGGGATCCAATGCAGACCACTAAATGTCTCACCCTTTCTCAAGGTCTCAGCACCCCACTTCAAGCCATGGACACACGTGGCTCATTTCATCACCCCAACAGCATTTCCTTCATTGTAGCATCTCTGTGCTTCTACATGGGGCTTTCAGATAATACAAAGGTGCTAGAGGGCAGGTTTGCATCCTGGAGGGAAGCTCACAGCTTGGGAGGACACCTCAGGGTGGTCGCCAATTCGCCTCATGAGGGTATTTCAGTAAAAGTGCATAAACCAGTCCCACACACTGAACTGAGTAGAAATGCACAAGTCCTAGGAAATCTGGAATACTTGTTCCTATGGACAAAACTGCACGAAAGGACAGAAAATATAACTGTGTGACTCTGCAGCTGAAACTCCACCTCCCCAGAGAGCCTGGCAACAAGCATGAAATAATAACAACAATAACACAGACCAGAGGAGTACAAAGAAAAATATAGTGAGCTTAGAGAGGCCAGGGCAGAGGCAGGCAGGCCCTCAGGCAGCATTACCCTGCCCCAGCTGTGCACGCCACCTCCCAGGCACCATCGTTGCTGGGCACCTGGTGGGCAGTGTTTCCCTGTCCCCAGTCTTCTCCCTGACAGTGCTCATAGACCCCATCCCAGCCTCTGTGCACTCACCCTGGCCCTACAGAACCCTGCCTGTTTACAGGGCGCTGCCTGGGTGCGTGTTCCTGTTTGCAGGTGGAAAAAAATCATGGGTCAGACTAAGGCTGAAGGGTCCAGTAGAGGTGATACTGGTGCTGAACAAAGGCAGAGGTGGCTAAAGGCACTTTACCAGGTTCCTGGCAGACCTACTGATCACTAAGTTTCAGTTCAGGTAACTCAGTGACTTGTTAAAAAAACCTGGAACCTTTTTGAATCTTTCCATTTGCCTCACTGCACTACCTGAAATATCAAACTGGAAAGACAGAGTCAGGAAAGATCCTTGTCTTTATACTAATCAACTAACAGTTGGACATGATGATCTTAAAGGTCTTTTCCAACCTAGACGATTCTATGATTCTATGATTCTAATCCCTGCCTTCAGACATCCCCTTAGAAATGTCCTAGGAGTGATGTGAAACTGTGAGCAAGCCTGACCCACACAGCACCCTCTCAACAGCAGAATGACCCTGCCTTGCTAGGAGTCTCTCCTTCTACCCACAGCTTCTCCCCACAGAACCCTGGCGAGCTCCCCAGGCAGGCTGAGTGCTGACCCTGGCAGGCGGCAGAGTCCCTGCCCCAGCACACAGCCCCCTGGGGTGCAGGGACCCTGCTGAGAAGGACAACCCTGGGCACCCCTGCCTGCACACCCCCCTTCACCCCCTGCAGCCCTTCCTGGGAGAAGGCAGCCATCATGCCCTGTCCCTCTGATGGTGCAGCCGGGAAGCCATGCTCCAAAGCATATCCTCCTCCTCTAAACCAAATAAGCCCTGGGAGTTGTACTTACAGATCCTGTGATCTGTGGGATGTGCCAGCTTTAGGAAATGCTACCAGGGTCTGCAAATGCAGTTTCTGTATCCACAGACTTACTGTCTGTTAAGATTTCTCCCCCTCTCAGCACCCTCCATATTCAGACTGTCTTTAACCTCTCTCTGTTTTGGTTCTCTCCCCTTGGTGCCTGCAGGCAGTGCCCTCAGCCCTGCTGTGCTTTGCAGAGGAGCTGCTCCTGGGATGTCTCTCAGCAGTGCTGCCCGCTTGCCATGAGCTTCCTGTGTCCCAGGAGCCCAGCTCAGTAGCAGAGGACCAGACCAAGGCCCTCTCCCTCTAGGTGGCCCTGGGGCTCCAGGGGAACCTGCTGTGAAGTCATGACGGATGTTGCCTTCATCATCTGGGGAGAAACACTTCTTCCCAGCACTGTAACTTCTCCTATGAGGAGATTTGGGCATGAGAATCACCTGTTCTTATTATATCATTACACAAAACCTAGACTGTGTAGTCCTGGTGCTCCTTGTCTTGGCTCCCATTCTCATCAATGGAGAGGGATGCTAGGGGTGAGACGCAAACATCTGGTGTCATCTGAGGTGCCAGAGATGGTCAAAGACGTGTGCAGGGTGCTGTGAGCTGAAATAGAGCTGTTCATGGAGATAGGGTAGCACCTGGGGGCATCCTCTTGGAGGCTGCTGAGAATTCCCTTTGGCCAAATGCAGTGACAGCTGATGTCCAAATGAAGGGCAGCTGAATGCATGATGGTCAGGGCAGCTCATAGAGTTATTCACCTGAACAGTTGGAGTCAGGTGCCACAGGGAGAGCTCAGTCTCTCTCTTCTTCTTCCAATGGATTTCCTAGATCTCCACTGACCACATTGCCAGTTGCCTCATGTTCATCCCCACACCGACTTACAGAATTCAGGGTATCTTCTCCATTTCCTGTTCACATCCAGGCCCACAGAGCTATGTGAGATGCCCAGGCTTGCAGGAACAGCAGAGGACCTACAGGAAAGCAATGCCTATTCAGGGCGGATATGTGACAGACACCCCAGATGGCATCTCAGGGGGTGCGATTGGCTGCCTGTGTGCCATTGACTGTCCATCAGCCAGAGGCATCAGTCATCAGATGCCATCAGAGGGGCGATGTCTGTCCCTCCTCTACCCAACAGCTGCAGGCATTGCGTGAACACAAAGCACATCACACGGGGGTCCTTACTCACACCCGTAATGATACAGCCAAGGGACAGACCAATCATTGTCTTCATGTCCCTGGATACATCTTGTCTGCAATGACAGAATCCTTCAAGCACGGCAATGATCCTCAGAGAAAACTCAACTGAAGCTGGAAAACGAATGCAACGGGAACCACAAGAGTGGACAATACCCATCCGCCAGGCTGGGGCATTCTCACAAGATGGAAGTGTTTGTATCATCCCTCATTTGCACAGGAGGGGCCTTCCTTCCTAATATATTTGTAGGAAGAACCTCCTCCTCCTCCTCTTTCACCTGCAGACATCAGCTGTTTTCCTATTCTGGGCTCAGTCTTGGTTTTAGGATTTGCTAAATCCATCCCCCATCCCCTTGTTTCTCATTGACATTCCTTTATCCACTCTACTAGACCCGCACACATCAAATCATTGCTGCTCAGAGACAGAGCTTGATGTCCTCTTTGTGCTCCAGAAGCATGGCGCATGCCTTGGGCACCATCCCTAGGCTCTGGAATAGTTGTACTCATCAGCATAGTGCCAGCTGGGCACTTTTCTTGCACTCAAAGCTTCAAGCATGGATCAGTCTGGCGTCTCAGAAGTTTCTGGATGGTCCTATCTGGCGTTGTCGTTCCAGGCTGCATGAGCGGCTCTGCTCTGTAGGTGTCCATTTTCATGGACTGGGATTTGTTCCCTACATCTTTACGTTCTGAGGTCTTGAAGAAAGGCTTACTGCACATTCATCCTCTTGGTTTTGAGAGTAACTTCGTGTCATGAGCTGTGACGTTCTGGTGATGCAATAGATGAAGCCAGGCTGGGAGGTGAACAGCTCAGGAGTGGCCCTGAGGAGAAGGGCCTGGGCACGACGAGGGGTGCCACATGACACAGTGGTGCGTGCTCAAAGTTCATAAGGCCAACTATATCTAGGGCTGCATCAGGAGAGACATGGCCACCCAGGCAAGGAAGTTATCATCCCCCTAGACTCAGCACTGGTGTGACCACATCTGGACTGGTGTGTCTGTGTGTGTGGATCTCCAGACAGGAGGAATGGGGAGGAACTAGAGAGGTTCTAAAGGAGATGTGCCATGATAGTGTTTGGGTCCTGGGTGGAGAAGCTGAGGGATATTCTTCAACTTAGTGAAGTGACACTATAGTGTAGCCTACACTATTTGAAGGGTGGTTTCAGAGACAATGGGTCTTTTCTTGGTAGTGGGAAGAGAAGGAAACCTCCACAAGTGCAGCTTGGAAGGTTCAGGCTAGATGTGAGGAAAATAGTAATAGTAATAATGGAATATACAAAACAAGTGATGCACAATGCAATCGCTCACCACACACTAACCGATGCCCAGCACATCCCGAGCAGTGATTGCTGACATCATATGGTATGGAATAGCTCTTTGGTCAGCTGGGGTCATCTGTCCTTGCTGTGCCCCCTCCCAGCTTGTTATGCACTGGGCAGAGCAAAGGAAGTTGAAAAGTCCTTGACTGGTGTAAGCCCTGCTCAGCAACAAATGAACCATCAGGGTGTTATCAACATTATTCTCATACCAAATCCAAAACATGGCACTGTGCCAGCTACTAGGGTGAAAATTAACTCTATGCCAGCCAAAACCAGGACAGACATAACGGGCCTTGACTTCCCTATGTATTCAGCCTCTGTTTGGAGATATTTGGTTTCAGTACCATTTGAAGATTGCTGACATCACTTACTGTGTAAACAGACAAATGAAGAACCA